GTTATTTCTAACCCTATAAATAGGGTCTTCTTGTTTGTAATAGAAATAAGTTTATTATATACAATTTATAATATTCTTCACAAGTTCTATATCTTTTAGAAAGAAAAAATATGTATACATAGCCCACGAATTATAACATCCACTAATAATTCAAAATTAATAGAAAAAAATTGTAGGTGTTATTATTTTATTAAATTAATTGCATATAATTTTTTAATAACAATAAAGTGTAGAAAGTTATAACACTTATAGAACGATCGAGACTCGTGACAACATGGTATCCTAAAGTGAAATTGATTGACATTAACTATTGCTACATCTTTGAACAAACACTTCCACTATATAACAATTAAATCACTTGTTCAACAATGACAAATGATTTTTGGAACTCTTTTAAGATTTATTCCAGGATAACATATCGACAAAACAATTCTAGAATCAATTTTTTTAGTATTCTTCAAAATTAATTGCAGCCACCTTTTCAGAACAATAAAATGTGAAAAGTTAGAACACTTATTGAACGATCAAGATTCGTAATAACACGATGTCCTAAAGTGAAATTTCCCATCATTAACTCATGTAACCTCTTTGAATAATTAATCTCAAAATACAACGATCGAATAATTTGTTCAACAATAACAAGCGATTTTCAGAACTCTTACATTTTACTCCAAAACAATATCTTAACAAAATAATTCTATAATCAAATTTTTATGAAGTGCAGAAGAGAAAACTATCTTTTTCAAGAAAAGAAAGGTGCATATATAGCCAACGGATTATAACTTTCAGTAAAATTCATAATTAACAAAAAAAAAATTGTGGATGTTATTATTCCACTAAATTAATTGCAGGTACATTTTTAGATAAATAAAAATGTAGAAAATTATAACACTTATCAAACGATGTAAACTTGTGACAACACGATGTCCAAAGTGAAATTGTCCACCATTAACTTCTGCAATACCCGCATTATAATTTTCAAGAATAATTCAATTTTAATAAAAAAAAATGTGTGTTTATTATTCCACCAAATTAATTGCTATACATTTTCATAACAATAAAATGCAGAAAGCTAGAACATTTATGGAACAATTGAGATTCGTGATAGCACGATGTCGTAAAGTGAAATTGCACGCAGTTAACTTTTATGATCTTTTTTGGTCAATCGACTACTCTAGGACCTTGTTTGATCCTCATTTTTTTAAATACATTTTCTCTCTTCTTTTCAATCATACATTTTTCAATAAAATAATATTACACGCAATCAATTTTTTTTTGTTCGTTTTTAATAACACATTCTTCATCAATCTACTATTTCAAAATACATTTTACACCAAATAATGTGGCTCAAACAAGCCCTAGAATTCAACAATTGAATCATTTGTTCAACAATTACAAAATCAATTTTCAGAATTCTCAAGTTTTACTCAAAATCAATATCTCAACAAAAAATTCTAGATCATTTTTTTATGAAGTATTTCTGTATCTTTTTCAAGACAAAAAGGTGTATATATAGCCCATGAATTATAACTTTTTATTGTGTGGTTGCCATGTTTCACCTTAAATTACTTATTTTTATTATAGTCCACATTTGCTTATGGTGGATTTGATACTTAGAAGGGTAGTGCTAGACGTACAAAAAATCACTACCAGTAAGTCACCAGATAAGTTGGCAGCACCTAATTCTTTTCTAAAATATCTATGTTGCCCTTAATGAAAATATATTGCAGGTTAAGTCCTGTATTTTTTAACTGTTAGATTGTTCAGAATTATATCTTACAATTCTTCCGTTTGGATCGTAAGTTCTTAGAACTAATCCTGGGAATCTTAGTTCAGTATTTTCTTGTAACCAAATTAAGTATTGTTGTTGCTCGTATTTGTGATATTTTATAGTTTTTAAGATTTTATCTCATCTTTGTGTATTATTTTCTCTTTTAAGTTCTTCAAGGAGTTTCCTAATTTCTCTAAATCTTAATTCACTAGTATTATCTTGGATTCTTCCAAATCTTTCAATATCTTCTCTTTCCTCTTAATTCATTAATCAAAATTACTATTTATACGATGTTCCTTTAACCTTTCTATATGTTCTAAATATTCTCTATATTTTGCTAATTTTTCAAAAGCTTTAGGTTGATTTTCTTCAGTTATATATCCAAAAACAATTCTTTATGAAACTTTTTCTTCTATATTTTCGTATTTAGCTATAACATATTCAACATCGTTTATTTCTTTACTAGTTTCTACATAATCAATTCTTATATTCTGTTTACAAGTATAATCTATATCAAAATATATTTTTTTAAAATTTTCTTAGCCAACAGGAATTATATCTTTAGATTTT